AAAATTACCTAGTTCAGTTGAGTTTGGTTATGGCAATGTAGCAACTTTGAGTGAGGCCTGAAGTACTTGTGAGCTTGTTTGAAGTTCCCTCAACCTTTCCCAATGCCCAGCTTGCTTTGAAATGGCTTGAATTTCCTTGTAGAAGTCAACCTGCAAACTCAGAAATTGAAAATGGTGAAGCTTGAAAATGAGGTTACAGTTGCTGAACAATGGCTTGGATAGTTTAGGTGTGTTGTAGGGAATGTGTTTGAAGTGGTTCCAAGCAAAACGCACGAGCCAATTTGGTTTTGGAAATGGTTCTGCAGATGATGCCCTGTTTGGGCAGGAACTTGTGATTTTTATGTTTTAGGGTGTTTGAGAGCTTAGCAAATCGTGTTTCTGGCTTGAGACAATATTTTGAGGTTGTTTGAAATGATGCCAAGACTTGGTTTTATCAGATACAAGAGTTATGTTCACTTTTGCAAGTTTTTTGTTTTTGAAGAAAAGGTGAGTTGACAAAGCTCAAAGCCTGTACAGGCTAGCTCAAGGACTACTGAGAGTTGGTGTACTTTTCCTCAAGTTTGTGGAATTTGTTTGCAGCAAAAGGTTTGGTCCATGGCTCAAGATAAACAAAGTTGCTAAAAGTATGCTTTATCAAAGTAGCAATGCAACCTTTATGCCATTTTTGGAATAATTCTTTGTACAAAGCTTCAAAGATCAAAACAATGCCATTGTCCAATGTATTTGCATTTAATTTATGAGTGTAGAAAGTATTAGAACCTGTAAACCAAGTACAAGCATGATCCAAATTGATTTGCAACTTGTATCAATGTGAAAAATGCCATGGACAAAAGTGAGAAATGGCCATTTTCATTCCTTCGATTCTCCCTAACCATAAATGATCTTGGAGAGTTCTTGGTTATTTTGGAAAGCTTGCAACATGCTCTACAATCCATATTTGAAATGAGTTTTGATATTCCTCTTGGAACTATGTGAAAAGTTGTCATGAAGTTAGGTCAAAAATCTGCCTAAACTAGGGCAAAATTTCACTAAGTTAGAATGTTTTTGGACCCTCATTCACAAAATCATAACTTGAGATCCAAGCATATTTTGGAAAAACTTTGTGAATCAAAGTTGTAGATTTTGTGGAGGACTACAACTTTAATGTTTGAAGTTTTCTTTGAATCCAATTGCATCATGGTGAAAAAGTTGGGAAAAAATAAGAAATTTTTATAACTTGGAAAATTTCGAAGTTATGAAAAATTTCAAACTTAAATCCTAATTTTCAAAATTAGGTTTCTTGGTGAACAAGTTTCATGTTTTGACATGTTTTAATGAAAAATGACCCTTGGCACTTGATTTTGGCCAAAATGTCAAAGTTTGATTTTTCAGTGTACAGTTGATTTTTGATCAGTTAACTGGAAAATTCATTTGTCAATCAAATGCATTTGAGATCTTTTGAACCTTGTGATTAGGTCAAGATGATTCCATTGAGTCCTTGAATCCATACTTGAACCCAATTTTCCAATGGCTAGGTGAAAAATCAGAAATTGCCCTTCCTCAGTCAAAACCCTAATTTTGACCATTTTGCCCTTTTGTTGATCTGACCAAATTTCTTGAGGAGTTGTGGTCCAAAGTTGATCAAATGGTTCATGTGAGTCTATAATGTTGTTTTGGATAAAAAATTATGAGGTTTGACTGTAAATTTGCCATGGTTGACTTTTCCCCCAATACAACTGATTTTTAGGTCAACTGTCCAATTGACTGGGCAAAAATGTGATTCAAGGCTTGAAACTTGGTATGAGCAATCTTATAAGTACAACATGAAGTATGAAAGTAACCTGAGGCATTGGAAGTCCAGAAATCCCTGTGCAAACTTAAACCCTAATTTCAGGTCAACAGCACAAGGAGAGGTCTTGAGTTGAGCAAACCCTAATCCTGTCTGGAGTCCTAGCAGTCTTGTGAGGAAAATCTTGATAAAATGAGAGGGCAAATTTTGGGGTACAACAATACAGGTTTGACTAAGTTAACCGACATAACCCGTAAAGGGCCTATATAGATTTATTTTATTATGATTGTATTATATGTATATTTTGTGACACACAAACATCTTATTTATTGCATAATATTTTAGCGATTACATGTTTTGAATCGATGGTGAACATAACATAAAATAGTATAACAAACATAAACTAAAAACAACTAAACATGAAAACCTAGGCACTACCAGATGATTTTGGACCTTTCAGTATCTTGATTATGTCGTCGATGGATATTCGAATCTTCAGATATCTACATCCAACCTGATCAGACTTTAGTTATCCTATGGCAAGATGTTTTCCACATGGCCTTCACATCTCCATCATCTTCAACTCGAACAGGTTTTATTTCACCCAACCATCTGTACCAATATAATGGTCCAGAAATTCGATCTTTGTCATCCTTATGTTATCGGAATCAAGAAGCAATTCATTCAACTTCTCTTTCAAGTTATCAAAGGATGTGGTGTCATCTGAAAGCTTGAATTCAACAGCAGGGTTGCATCTATTGTAATACACTTCTGCATTAATCAGATAATAAGGAAGATGCATTTTTTGAGATGTCTTACTTTATAGCTTGAAACTCCTATTTATATAAATGGTGATGCATTCTAGACCACACAAATGTGTCGGTGCAATCAGAATTCTCTAAATATATCGGCAAAATCTCGGCCATTAAAAAAACTAGAATACATAACCTACCGAAAATTTCAATATAACTTAAATTTCCGGTATTGACACGTAAATTTGAAATTTCCGGAATACCAGAAATTTCAAATGAACTACCGAAAATTTACTCTTACCGAAAATTTCGTAGGGGTGTATCGGAAATTTAGTTTGTACCGGAAATTTCTTTGCTTCTATCAGAGATTTCATCCGGAAATTGTTTGTATCTCATGAAGGGTAAAACTGGAATAATAAAAATTGGGAGGTGTCATGTATAATTTAGGGGTGGCATGTTAAATCTTCCTTATTTTGTTATCTTATATATAGGTTATAATATTTGATGTTAATGTCAATTATAATTTTCTCCTCAATCATTCTCTCCATCTCTCTAATTTACCTATTTCCTCATTTCATCTTCTTCAATTAACATTTTCCCACTATTGGTTCACCATAAAGTTTTGTGTATGTTCCAACAAAATGGAGATGTTGATTTGGAAACACGTTGAGTACCTTTTCCAATGTACATTTCCCAGATGCTAATGTGAAAAAAGTTGTTAACGAGAATTATCCAATTTGATACGGTATAAGATATAAATAGATATACATGTAAGTTTGAAATAAGTTACTTAATTGTAAAATGAACATGATCTTATAACTTCAATTAATGTTGTTTAAAAATAAAATGGTTATTGTGCTAATAATGACATGTGAGATTGAAAGTTAGTTATATGCGACTATAAAGTATTATTCAATTTGATACGATGTAAAATGTAGTATTTAGTTATACGTTTTAGTTTGAAATTGATAACTTAATTGTAAAATGAATAATGATTACATAAATTAAATTGTATTAAATAACCGTACAAAAAAACTCATGAGATGGAGAAAGAAAAAAAAGAAAATTTTGACATTTAAAAATAAAGATTAAAGACAAATGTTAATTAAAATAAAATAGATAGTGTCATGTACAATGGACTTATGCAAATGACTACATGTCATGGTTCTATAGGGTGTCACACCATATCATGACACCAGACGCTCCTGGAAGACCACATAGGTCAGCTAATCAAGAGGTACTTAAGACTAGGGGTGACCACTCTAAAAGTGTGTCAGTATGTTGTGGAGATGAGTAGAGCATGCATAGAGCGATATTCTTTGAGGATGTTAGCCCCTAGTTGACCCTCGTGGAGAACATGATTGTCGAGTTACGGAATGTCGTACAGTACACGCGAAAGAGGAGGCATGGATTAAACATACCCAATAATTTATGTTTGAATGTATTTTTTTTGGACAAATGTTATGTATGTTCTTAATTTTTTAGATTAATGTATGACTTTTTACTTTCATTTAACTTTAATATGACTTGATTTTACTTTTTAATATAACTTGACTTCAAAAAATTACAATATTGAAACAATGATGCTGCTCTGAAATGATTTGAGGGATTTTCGAAGATACATTTCCAAAATGATTTTTCCTTGCAATTGACACGCTTCCAATATCTTTTAAAGGACTTCAGGTGGCATATCGAAGATACATCTTTGAATACACCCAAAATACATCTCCCAATCATATTTTGTTCAAAATAAAATGGATCACATAATAAAGCATGCTAGTGTGTTTTAAGTGAGTCCGAAGATACATCTCGAATTTACAATAGTGTAAGATGCGCGCATCAGGGCGGATAGAAAAGAGTATTCCCCAAAATTTAAAGGTGATCCACCTTGAAGAAAAGTGAGTTAAAGTATCATCCTACTCTTTTATTTTAGGTCAAATATATTATTTGATACTTTAAATCAGATTTTTTAAAATTGTAAATCACTCTATTTACTTTTCAGCACTATTTGTTCACATATTGTTCTATAATTAATCTATATATGTCCTAAAACTATTTCCCCATTCATCAAAATACTTAAACCCTTTCAAAGTTTGATAATAAGTTAAGGATTTAACACATGATAAATTAATGACCAAGCATAAGATCAGTGAAGCTTGCCCTTTTCTTTCTAAGTACTGGAAAATCAGTCTCAAATTGTCTCAAATTTCTCTGCAATGTGGAGGCTGAAGAAACCTCAATTTGTTTGACAAGAAAAACAATACAACATTTATCCAGATATGCAAGGCCAACAAAATGTCATACCTATGCATAAAAGTAAATAAACTTTATTTATGTACAAGTATACGCTCTACCAAAATTTGTACTAAAATCTAGAGCACATCTGCGCAAAAATTCATCTAACAAATGTACTTCAAGTATCACCCAAAAGTTCTAAAACTTTGATAAGCAGGTTCCAATTTTATAGTATTCTTGAATTTTCAGTCTCTATATGACTCAGCAAAGTCTTTGATCCTTTGTTTAATATTCTGCATGAAAAGGGAAAAAGAAGCATTATAAGCACATAACAACTATGAAGAAAAATGTTCCATAATTTAACTTAAAAAATTCAGATCAAGATTCGAAAATATATAAATAATTACCGCCAGTTCTTCATGAAGCACAATAAATATTCTCTTCAGTCTCTTGTGTCTCTGTAATTCACATTATAGCCACATGTTTAGAAAATAGATACTGTAATTAATATAATGAGAAGATTACAATTACGAATTTAGGTAGCACAAGAATATCCAAAATATAACTTTTTAATATTTGAGCTCTGATCAAATATAGCATACGTGAATACTAAATGATGCAGTATTTAATCTATATGCATAGGTGAAGACAAATAAAACATACAGATCCGCATTGCCTATAGGATTCCTTAATCTGTTCTGCAATGTTGTCATATCCATCCATATCTCCCCTGCTTTTAGCATATTCTAAATCATCACCAAATTTCTGAAACTCAATCCTGCAAATGGGTGATATGTAAAACAAAATATCAAACAAGTAATTAAAATACACACTTGAACAGAAAAGCACAGAAATTTGAATCATTAGACTATTTACTTGTAATCCTCCAAAATCTTGTTCAAGGAGAGGTAACTTTCATATTTATCTTGGTATTCCTGCACATATTCTTTGTATCTAGCATTGGATAGAAAACATGTATCAGAACAAACAAACAAAAAAGCAATAAAGGCAAAAGGACCCTAGCATTGCGTCACACTAACCACTACAACAGTAATTACAAAAGAAAATAAAGAGTAGCTGCTTACTGGGAGAATGTCGTTATGGCTCCCTTTAATTCAGGTTCCTCCTTGTCATACTTTGAATAAGAGCAGCTATTTTCATCGGAGGAAGATTCTCTCTTCTTTTGGTCACTATTATTTCTATCTGCAAATATTGGATCCTTTCTTCCATCGGCCACCTCTTCAAATGAATTAGGTGTTTGTCTTTTACTCTCTTTCAGAGGATAGGAAATCATTCCACGTTTCGTCTCTTGCTTTGATCCATTTGCAGGCGCTCTTCTATTGCTTTCACTGCGACCGTCCAAATCAATATCATGGCTTACGCCGGACTCGTTATTTCTTAATTTGGTACTCATATCTAACTGTTTGTTTTGAGATCCAATGTCCGCATTATCTGCTTTCAAATGTTGTGAATGAGTTTGCATAACTTTAGAATGAGACTTTGTTGAATCTTCAAAATGATAATCTGCATTCTTTTTATTTGTGTTTTCCAAATTGCTAGGAAAACCTGAACTTGCAAACACCGATGATGGCTTTCCGGAATCTAGAGTTGTTTTCAATGAAGGTTTTACTTTAGTGACATTTGAATTCAGGCCCTCTAAAGTGTTTGATCTGTTTTCCATATGTTTAAAAGAACCTCTTCGCTCAAATTCCTTTGGAACAATGGTTTCATCAGGAGTGGACTCACGAAGTTCTCCCAACTCCAGGTCTGAATGCTCTCTTTGAAGCGAGATACCTCGCCCATTAACAGCAGGGGATTTATTAAGACCAGTTCTGTAGTTATCCTTAGGTGAGGTTCCCAAATGTAACTGTGTACCTTGTCGGCCTTCCTTTAACTTACCAACCATTTCACTTTGTTTTTGGTAATTAGAATCCATGGGTAATAGTGACTGCTTACTCCCATTACTATCAACCCAGGAACTCCTGGGGACTTTTTTCCCAGAGGCATAAATATCTTCATTTTGAGCATCTCTATGCGATTTATTTTCCTGCACATGAGAAGCTTCACGTGCACGGGAGTCCTTTCCTGAGTGTTTTCTGTTGTGCCCTGTGCTTCCACCGAGTTTGTCTGATTTTTCCAATGGATAGGAAGGGTTTCCTAGAGGGCTTTGGTCAAAGGACCTTTGACTTGTCTGCGGCAAATCTGAATTAGAATTTCCAGGCAATGCACGATTGTATCCTTTCTGGAAACCAAGATTGGAGTTTCCTTGTCTGTCAGCTCTATTCCCCATTTGTGTATTAGGGCCTTTACCGGCGTCTTCAGTAAATTCGAAAGGAGAAAAATTTCTAGAGTTTCCAAATTTTTGCACATCTGTACCCGGAGAATATGACTCACGAGACGAGTTTCTTGCTTTCAAATTCTTTGTACCTTCGAATTTCTCATCGATGTTCTTCAATTCAGAACCCCTCTTATGTGTATCTTTAGATAGCTTATCAGAGCTGTCAGAATGTTCGTTCCTAGAGCTATCTTTGACTTCACTTTCCTTTTCATCAAACAAACTCCCTATATAATTTTTGCGCTCCTGTAGCTGTTGATAATCAGGTGAAAAAGGCTCTACCTCTTCTGCATATTTGCCAACTCTATCAGAAATACTATTTGTAGTTAACCCCATTTTAGCTCCCTGTTCCTCTGGCGACACTTTTTCAATATCAACGGCATCAAATTCATTACCATCTTGCTTCTCATCAAACTCATTCTGCATAGATCTTCCATCAGGAGATTTTTCTGGAATGGGTAAAGAAATCTTTTGATCGTAGGTTTCCGCTTTGAGATTTGGCTCTTTTTCATCATCACTCATAATATCTACATCCTCATCAGAACCCTCCAACCCCTCCTTGCTGCTGGAAGATGCATCACTTTCACTGTCACTGCTACTCCCACTCCCTGATCCAGCAGGACTTTTACTTTTGCTCCTACTGTCGCTTCCACTGTCACTACTGTTACTTTCACTATCACTATCACTTCCACTAGCACTGGAGCTGCCTGCCCTCCCTTCACTATAATCAGAACCTTTTTTGTCACCAAATAAATCAGGTGAAGCATGTTGCATATCAATTTTTTCCAATGTGCTTGATTCTTCTTCCACTTTGGACTTTCCTTGTATTGTTTCCTCCAAATCATCATTTGGAACTTTCTCCTCGAAATCTCCCTGTGGAGCTGATATCTGATTATGAAACTCTTCATGGGCGGGTGTTTGGTTATGATTTTCTACCGGCGAACTGTACAAAACATATAAAATTTAAAGAGAGTGAGAGGAAGAGATAATGCGGTACTATATATGATTTTTAAGAGACTGATGCAAAAGATACAAAGCCTGGTAGCTATTAGACTATTTATTATACAACTCGTCAAGCTTGTATTATAATCCACTAAAAACTTATAAGCACTGCAACAAACTAAAGAAGATTCTAAAATAGCTCAAAAAGCACATACACACAATCAAACTAAGAAACACATGCAGTACTGGTATCCAATGATAGCGTTGTGAAAATAACAGGTACCTTCCCCTTTCAGTCGGAGGTTTCTTGAAGCTTTCTGGATCCACCGCTGGCTTTAAAATATATCGTCCAGGGGACTGGTATTTTGCAATCTGATGTTCAAGATCAAATGAGAAATAAAATCACATGTGTATCATAAAACAATATCCTCAAGATTCCAACCACTTACTTTTTTTAGAATTGGCTCAAGATCCCTTAAGGAACTTGGAAGTGTGTCACTGACTGCTTTCTCCAAGGCCTATAATCAAAAGAAGAAAGCAATTAGATGAAATTTGGTTAATCATAGAGTTAAGTACAGGCCTAAGAAGTAAGAATAACTACATATTTGATTTTCTACAGCACCTTAAAAGTCATTCCGTTAGGTTTATCCTTTAGGAGAGAAATTAACATGCTCTGCAAATCTATTGGGTTGGATCCATTATTTCCTTTGCCTCCTGGTTTGGCCCTAATAGCATTGCTTGTCCTGGTAGGGACTTCTTTCTCAAAGACGGCATTAGTATCTTGCTTGTCTGTCATTTGTGATGGCACGGCATCATCAATAATTTTAGAGATATTAACAGCTCCCCGTGGAGAGGAAGAAGGAGCAAAGTGATCAGGTGAAGATGGAAGAGGAGAAGAACGTTTTCCCTTGGCAGTAGTAGTTGTTGACATCAATCCAGATCTATTGGAGGTTTTTGGGGGACCTCCAACTATGAAAAAATTCCAGACATTTCATATAAATTATTAGAATAAACAGTTAGAGTTAAGTAGACGGTACTTTGTATTAGCAAAACAGGATAACTAACTCTGTAACCAACTATGCTGAGTCAGGTACAGCTCCCTATATATAGATTTAGGAAAGCTATTGTGATAATCATGAATGCATTTCTACATAAACACAATATTCAGTTTAGCCTCTCGGAATTTCAGAAGAAGAACTATTCATCTTCTTCAAGTATCTTATATAAACTATATGAGCAGATGAGCAGTTTAGGCCTAAACCATATTTCTTAACAGGGTATCAGAGTCTGGCTTAAGATCCAGTCGGCCATAGCAGGTTTCCGCTATCGGGCAAGTCGGTTTTATAGGGATGAGTTAGGCCTAAACCCCATTTCCTAACATGGTATCAAAGCCTGGTTTAAGATCCGGTGGATCACCTGCTATCCGGTTTCCGTTATCGGGCAAGCCGGTTTTGTAGGGATAAATTAGGCTTAAACCACGTTTCTTAACATGATATAAGAGCCTGCTTAAGATCCGGTGGACCACCTACTATCAGATTTCCGCTCTCGGGCCACCCACCATTTATTTTCACGCTTCAGATGTCCAGTCCTAAGCGTGAGGGGATGTGGTAAGAGTCTGACATCGAACAATATATGACTTGAACAAGCCGGTTTTGTAGGGATAATAGCTTTCAATACTTCTACATCTTACTATTGATTTAAAATGTGTTGAAAAGATGTAAATTTTAATACCTGGAAGAGTTTCCGCTTTCTTTTTCTTAAAAGCAGCCTCTTTCTTTTTACTGTAATTTTTCCATGATGTAGCTAGACAAGGGAAGCACGCGGCTCTTTAATTAGATAGTTCAAACATAAAAACCGTTAAACCAAATAAACTTAAAGTACAAGTCTTTGGAGAACAAAATAGTTAGAATGGTGATAAGAAGATAACAATGTCCAACACCGTCAAGATTTTTTTTCAAGTTTCTTGGCCCAATGACACAATAAAATAGCAACAGGAAATTACAAATTTAAAACTCAGGAAAAGAAAAATTACCCTCAACAGCTACCAACGCCTTTAGATTGCTCTGCGTAGACAGGTTCCCAGGCTCCAAGACAATGGCTCTATTGTGAGAACATAATATATGATTAATTGGACTATTGTCACTATGGAATGTAATATCAGAAAGAAAAATAATTGTCAGTAGGTTCTGTAAAAACTAAGCAGACTATTTAGACTTTTAACCCTAGAAATAGAACAGTTCTGAACTAAGTCTTTTTCCGGCCAAATGGCTGATCACATTCTCATCAATAGTTCATTTGCTTTTCAAAAATTAAAGTGTTAGTTGTGTATTATTGGTATTGTATATTGTGACATTACATAGTAGCAAATTGATAGTACGGTACAGTAGAGCAGAGAAACAGGTACCGCCAATAGAAATTAATACTGATGGTTACTCCTATCCTTCGGTCTGAACTCTGAATCAACAAGATTGCAGAACCAATAGGAAATGTTACAACGAAAATGTCAAGGACAAATCTTCTCTAAACTCCAAGGATTCGAGAATCCAGGCCCTTCCACTAACTCCACACTCAAAATAAGTCTACACCCAAGAATTTCTAGTCCTATTATTTATATTCTTCCATTTTCATCCCTTTTCCTGATTCTATTTGAGATCCCACCACTAATCAGTTCATTCAGAAGCTACATCTAACTAAGTACGAGGACAGCTGCCAACTGCTTGGTTGTCAATAACAGAAACTGATACCAGTCATATCCCCCAACGATAGCCGCTATTTCGCCTAGCATAAACATTTTTTATGCGGGTCTGTTTAAAGAAATTCATAATTCTTCTCAATTAACAAGAATCTGCATCTAAGTACAAGTAATCTAACACGTGATTCTTTTATTAAATAACCAAATATATGCGGCAAAATTTTGAACAAAATGAAATCCTTTGTGATCATAGCAAAGAGAAGCATTTCAACATTACCATCAAGACTAAAAAACTAAGCTTCAAAGTTATTGCCCTAGCAGTTAATTGACACTTTTACATGATTGTGTGTATATTGATTGTTTTTATTGCAAAAACCCTAAAAAAAATTATAAATATGAGTGCAACACTTTGACGGAATTTCACTAGTTACCATCTAAAAAATATTATACGATAATTATCATTTATCGCCAAATATATCATGTCTATTTTCTCGTTAACACGTGCCAAATTCAAGCCGTGATAAATTAACAATGGAGAGCGAGACTGAGAAATTCACAAGTTGAAAAACAAGGTTTACAAAGGGCAAGTGCAAAAGATTAAGTGTGTTAGAATAAGTAAGGAGTGTGTGACAATACTTGCGTGACTTGAGCTTGCGTTCGGCTTCCTCTGACCGCATTTTGACATGATTCTTAGTTGATTCGTCCAAGATACGTTGTACATTCACTTTGCGCCAGGCACACCCAGATTCAACAAGCAAACCATTTCCATCTACACCACTTTGGCGCTGTTCATAAATATCACATAGATCACCGTCCTTTGACCATGTAAATCTGAACTCCTTCCCACCAACGTCGATAATCTGGTACGAAGAAAAAAATCACAGGCCTATCAAACTACATATAAACAATTTCATACAAAAAGGCAAACACACCAAAACGAAAGACAGTAGATAGGAACTACTCTGCAATGGTATATTTATATTAATCTCGAACAAAAAGTTCATATCGTTTATGGAAAACTATCAAATTAGGTACATCGTTCAATGACTAGTTTATTTGCTTATTATCATTAATAAAATACTATACAAATATCGCAATCTAGATTCGGGTTTACTGTAAACCATGTATGTGGCCACATATCCATCACTGATTCTAATCCGTAATACGCACGTGTGGTGAATATTAATATTACTCCTCTTTTGGGGCCACCAACCTCCTGCCACGTGCGATAAAGTCATGGGCCGAACCCATTTTTGAGCCCACACACAATATGAAGTGTCAAACACAGGTTTTTTCTTATTACGACTAATTCGGGTAACACTTTATATTAGGTTTTCTATATTAGAAGCGACTCATCTTTACAAAAGCGGACTGTAAGATGAGGGGTGTCACTCTTTATAAACTATTTTAAGACCTTATCTCTTTTTTGAATTCGGGTATTTTACAATACACATTCTCAATTTCAATCAAAATTGTTTTGCCACTGAACCTCAACTCAACTAGAATCGACTAAAAATTACTTTTGCAATTAACAATTAACATTAGGCTAAAAAATTTACTCTAACTTTTACATCAAATTTGCTTTTTCGACGAAAAAAAAAATTAAAACATAATCACTTCACTTCAGAGTAACTCTTTAACAAATCAATTATACAAAACCAAGTTGATTTAGAATCACATTCTACAAAATTCACCCAAATAAAGTCTAATTCCTCAACTAGAAAACCTACGAAACAGCCTAACTCCACAACTCCAATTCGTGACCTATGGATTGATGGAATGGAGCGGAACAGAGCGGAATGGAATGACATAAACTTGTGTTCCATTGTCTGGATTAGTTAAAAAAGGATGGAATGGAGCGGAACACGATGGAATGCATTCCGTCCCATTGCATCACTTTCCGTCATTTTTTATACCCTCCGATTTGGACGGAATGAGAAAATTAGTCTATTCCATCATGAAATACCCAAACAATGGAAAGACATTTTTATTCTGCTCCGCTCCACTCCATTCCATTTCCATTCCGTTAATTTTACAATATCCAAACATAGCCTAAAAGAATTCAAACATTAATCACTTCACTACAAACTAGTTTATAAACAAATCAGTTTTGCAAAATCAAGTTGATCCATAATCACATTTGACAAAAACTAACCCAAATAAAGTCTAACTCCACAACCCAAACATATGAAAATAACAAATTAGCATTTGATTACACAATCTATACTTCAAACTGCGACTACAACAATCAAATAAAACTATAAACTATAAACCATTCAACAATTCAAAACTAAAATAACCGAAAGTATCGAAAAAATAGCAAGAACAAAACCATACATTTCCATTGGGATTATTTGGATTAGCGTCATATTTCATAGTTGCAGTGCCACCTTGTGCCTCTACGCGCTTGATCTCTTCGATAAGGTCTGGCGCCAGCCTTATGATCATAGAGAAAGCAGGTGGATTGCTGCCGGATACAAGGCTGAAAGTCTCCTCCACCGCCGGTGGCGTTTTCCGGGCAGAGCCACCGAGGGAGAGACGGGAGCTGGAGGAGGAAGGAGGACGGTGATGCTGCGGAGGGGGGAAAGACGAAGTGAGACGTTTGGGGCCGGCGCGGCCCATTTTGGAGGAGGGTCCGCCGTACATGGTGGTGGTGGAATTGCTCCTCCGACTAAGACCGGATGATGATGAAATTGAAACCTATTATCATTTCATAAATCTATTTTATGTTTTTTTTTTTTTTGGTTTAAATCATTTTATAAATCTTTTTCATGTAATTTAGGTTTATAATGTAATTTTGTTATTTGTATTGGTATATTTGCCGTAATAAATAATAATGTTTGAAAAAATTATAATTCACATAGATTTTGTAATCGTATCATTCTAACTTTTGTTTTTTTAAGATATGTGTTGCATGTATATTGTTTTACTTAGATAAGGTTTGTAAGAGTTCAAGCAGGACTAAAAAGGAACTGGTTTTTTGATAGATTCTTATTAAGAATTGATTTTGAGGTGTATGTAATTCAGGTGAATAGTCAATGGTTAGATGTATCTCTTTAGTCAATTGGATACTAAGAAGAATACCATATATCTTTGCAAAGAGAGCATTTTATGTTCCTAAGTTTTCTTAAAGACGCTTTAATTTTCTTTTTTTTTATAAGCAAATAGATTAATAAATAAAAAAGAATATAAGGGGGGTACTTAACCCGTTATACACGATTCGAAATAATACAATCAAGAGGAGTATGAATCCAATTATACTATAATAGACTTTTACCCCCTTTAATATTCAATAATTGTCGAGACCAAGAAATAAGTATGATGTTTCCTATTATAGCAGATCAAAGGCCTCCTCCGTTGTCTCTGGATTGTCAAGAATATCTTCAGGTGCAACAGCAAAATCCTAACACTAAACATTGTCACGAAATTTGCCCATCTCAACCATTTTTCCAAGTTGTTTCTTAGAAATGCAGAACAGCCTTGGGAAGATATCTTTCAGTGGAACACAGTCCAACCATCTATAAAACCAAAACTAAATGGATTCTCCATTGTCAAGTCGACAATTGATATTACCTGCAAAACAGTCAAAAGTGTTAGATTTGTGAGTGTTGATCGATATTATATCTTTCCACCAGGTTGAAGCCTTTTTATTGTCTTTGTCTCAAAACCCAACATCACAGCTTCTTTCACATCGTTGTATCTATCACAAAGAATTTGATTACAAATGGTTCCATCCTCATTTAGAATTTGCCACTTCCATTTACACAATAACGCCTTGTTGAAAACTCCAATATGTTTGATGTCGAGACCACCTTCCTCTTTGGTCTTACAAACGTTATTCCAATTAACCCAGTTGATACCTTTTTTATCCTCATTCCTATTTCCCAGAAATCTACTCTGAATTTGGATAATCTCTTTGATGATCTTCACCTAAGCTCTGTAAAAAGACATCATGTATATGGGAATGCTTGATAATACTGAATTCAGAAGAGTGACCATTCCCCCTATTGATAAAAACCTCGCCTTCCAACTTTAGAATTTTTTCTTAAGACTTTGAATCAACAGATTCCAAAACTCACATCTCTTTGGATTCAGTCCTACTGAAATGCCCAGAAATCTAATAGGAAAATCCTCCCTGCAGCAACACAAAAATTGGGAAGCACTAACCATGAATTCTTCTGTTAAGTTTACACTAAAAAATTCACTCTTACAAAATTTGACCTTCAATCCAGAAATGAGTTTGAAACCCCTGAATATAGCCTTGATGGATCTTAAATTGTTCCAACAACCAGTCCCCACAATAACCGTGTCATTTGCAAATCGTAGAATTTTGACATCAAAATTTTCACTAATTTTGTAACCCTCGAAAGATCGCGTCGCTGTCGCCCTATAAACCAAAATAGACACAATGTCTGCCACCACCGTGAATATAAAAGGAGACAAAGGATCTCCCTGTCTAAGACCCCTCTCCGCCAAAAAATCTTGGGTTGGGATCCCATTGACAAGAATTGGCATCGAACTCATGAAAATGCAAGCTTCCATCCACTTTCGCCATCTGAAACCAAATTTGTGAAAGATGTTTCGCAATAAGTCCCAATTCACGTAATCATACGCCTGTTGGAACTCGGCCTTAAATATGAAACACGTTTTCTTCTCCTTTCTTGGGTGATCAATAATTTCATTTAAAGTTAAAACCTCATCCAGGATTCTTCTGCCAGGAACGAAAGCGGATTGCGATAGAGAAATAACCTCAGGTAGCACCTTCTTAATTTTGTTCGCCAAAATTTTGGAAAGAATCTTATATAAGCATCCCACCAAACAAATTGAACGATACTCATTTAAGCCCTAAGTATTGAAGTTTTTAGGAATAATCTCTAATAAAGCGGTTGTTAGGGCTTTTGGTAAAGTCGTTGTCTTATGGAATTCCCACACAAACTTGACAATATCCTCCTAAAGGAAACACCAAAATTCATGTATGAACCTAAAATTAAATCCGTCGGGTCTGGGACTCTTCTCACCATTTGAATCCATACAGCCACCCTTATCTCCTCACGAGTGAAATCAGATTTAAGATGAATATTATCTTCTGAAGTTAATCTTCTAAGCTTTAGCCCGTTGAAAGATGGTCTCTCCTTTATATGTTCCAAAAATCTGCTTTTGAAAAATCTCAAAAGCTCCCTACGAATTCCATCAACATTTTCTATTGTTATTCCATCATCATTTGAATCGCCATTATTGTGTTTTTCCTCCTTCTATCCTTGATTAATGCATGAAAATATTCAGTGTTCTGATCACCCCCCCGAAGCCAGTTTTGTCTAGATTTCTGTCTGAGAAGATTCTCTTTGATACTCAAAAGCCTCCAATAACCTTCTGCATCCGTCCTTCTAACTTTGAACCGCCAATTATTATTGACTTCATCATCATCCAATGGGATCAAATCATCATTGTTAATTTTTCTGGCAGCTTCCTCTACATTAAGATCCAACCAACCAAAAGTTTCCTTATTCCAACTTTTGGGAATGTTCCTAAGATACTTGAATTTTTCCTTCAAAACAAATGCTTGTTTGCCTTAATTGCTTAAACTTTTCCAAGCCTCCTCCACAAAACGTAAGAAATCCTTATGATTAAACCAATAGTTATTAACTCCAAAGGGCTTTGGGCCCCAATTAACCTCATTGGATTTCAGCCAGATATGAGCATGATCTGATATATATCCCTCTCGTCCACCAACTGACCCACGATCTTCTAATTATCAATCAAAGCTTCAGATAATAGAAATTTGTCCAGTCTGATTCTAACACTCCTTTCCTTGTTGGACCAAGTAAATCTACCTCCAATTGAAGGTAAGTCAGTTAACTCCATGTTATCAATAAAGTCATTGAATTCCCTCATGCTCGAGTTTCTAGGATCAGAGTTATTCTCAATCCTTTCCCTCATATCTCTGATAGTGTTAAAATCTCTGCCTATACACCACCAACCTTCCTCAAATTTATTCTTCTGAGTAACCAATTCTGATCAAAAAATTATCTTCTTGTCTGGAGAACAAGATGAATAAACATTAACAAAATAACACACATGGCCTTTATACAACGCATAAATCCCAACAGCTCCTTTTGTTCTAAAAATGAAAAGAGGGAAAATGACTTCCTTCTTCCAAATAGTTATGATTCCCCCTTAAGCCCCTTCTGAATCTTTTGTTGTCCACTCCACCAATTCATTTCCCCATAAGCTTGAAACAAACAAATCATTAACATTCATAGTTTTTGATTCGTGAATGAAGACCATATTTGTTTTCCCTTTGTTGATCAATTGTTTTAATCTCCTTCTCTTCATCAAAATACCACACCCATGCATGTTCAAAGACATATAATTCATTTTAACCCAGATGTTTTCGCCACCCTCTCCTTCATGCCCTCAACATCTATATTCTCCATATCCTTGATTGCATCCACAAATATCTCATCTTTCCCTCCTCCAGCTTTTCCTAATTGAGACAAATCTTGCCAAACCTTACTCGCCAAATCACCATCCTCACGATGCTTAGAATTTGAATTCCTTTGTGATGACTTGATTCCCATTTGTAATTTAGTTCATAAATTTGATCCTTCTGACGAATGAGAGAAACACCACACTGAGTCAATGATCCCCTAATAGAGGAGAAGGGGATGTTGTGACCCCTGATGTCGGACTCACTATTCATCTTCCTTTTGTTCTTATGATTGTTTAAAACTGTAAAACACGAATTAGAAATTTTGAAGTCAAAGGATTTTTTAGAGTCCTCTTGGTTCACCGATTCTCCACGCTCATCATTATTGATAAGGTTTTGAGAAATCCTTCTATCCTGAGCCACCGCTTCATTAAAGAATCCCCTGTTGTTGTGGGCTTTGAATGCCTTAAGAAAATGGGCCTTCTTGATCTTTGATTTATTTTTGGCCCAAAAGTTTATACCCATATCTGATAAATCCTTCTCGCCCATGATAATTGCAAATTGTAGCTATTTTTCTATATACTTTTTGTTGCACTTATCGACTTTTTGTTGTTAATATCGTTTAATAAACCCGACTTTTGTGCAAATATGTTTAGTTTGTGTTTATTTTTGTTTTTGTGTACATAGTGTATAGTTTGATGTTTTTCCATCCATTTTGTAGGTATTTGTTGAATTTTGGAGCATTGAGGAATAAGGTCTCGAAGGCACGGCTTCGGATGCGTGTATTCGGAATAAAAGACCAGTTTTAGGACATTCTGTCCAAGAGAGCCTGCTTAGCACGCAGAGGTTGCTAAGCGCGAGTACCGTTTAACACATTTTGTAGTGTGTTGCTTGCGTTTGACAATTTGGCAGAACCAATGTTTTGAAGCCGCTTAGCGCCCATAGCGCGCTTAGTGCGGTTTAGGTCGGTTTGATGTGTAAAATAAGCAAGTCACGCTTAGCACGCCAGGCCCGCTTAGCGCGGTCTGTTGAGATTTATTTTATAACTTTCATTTCAGCTTATTTTTAGGGATTATTTTGGGGAAGTCTTTGCTCCCAACTCCATCAACCTTCAATTTTGTTAGGATTAACTTAGATAACAACTATGGAGCTTCCATACGGATGATCCGGAGTGGATTGCTCTTTGATCGGCACTGACAAACCGATAGATTTGTGGTTC